TTTTATTTTCTTTCAGCTCTCCACCTACCGATCGACACGCCATCGCTCCCCCCTCCAGAGAGAGAAGGAGATCATCGGCGACCGTATCCGAAACACTATTTATAATTGGAAATCCATAATAGTTTATTGTTCTTATTTCAAATACGAAATGGAAATGGGGTTTGACGTTTTGGATACCTATTTCGAATGAAATCAACTCATAAGAGTTACTCCGATTTGCGTTTATAGAAAACTCGGATAAGAAAAGTCTTTTTTATGTTTACGGGTGCTCACTTACATGCTCATTTAATGATTTACAGGTGCCCGGATCAATTCCTCTGATGGGATCTAGAGGAGTGAGGATAAAAAAGGGGGAGCGAACGAATGGCAATGTGGCTAGTGTATTAGGATAGTTTGCATTTATTCGTCCGTGAGGTCTAAATTACAATCAGCTGGGAGGGCACCCGAGGTGCCTTGACCTAATTTTCTCTGGGTTAATATACTGCCGCGTCGCGGCGGTTCGGGTGTCGCGCTAGCGCCCTTTAGCGGCGGTAGGTTACTGGACGCTGGAGTGCGTTACGTTTTGGATACCTATTTCGAATGAAATCACTTAGTAAGAGTTACTCCAATTTGCGTTTATAATAAACTCGGATAAGAAAAGTCTTTCTTATGTTGCTGATTTAATGATTTACAGGTGTCCATTTTTTCGAGGAATACGAAGAATGGTATAGAACGTAAATATATAAGAGGCATGAAATCACGATTTCGTTTCTATGTCCGATAGTTGATGCATCGTAAATTTTCCGACGGTATTTCACTGTATATATATTTAGAAACTATTTCTTTTATGCTAAGATAATATTCTAACTTCGGTTCAGTGAATGGAACAATTGAATCACTAAGAAACTTGTTAACATTTAATAGAACATGTTCTATTATATTCTTTATAAAATTCTGTAAATTATTATTTAACAAAAACTACGTTAGGTGGGTCGGGAACGCTCCACAGTAATACTAAAATAATTTTCATTAATTGTTTTTGTTTATAAATATTTATTTTCTTTAGGAAATCCATTCTGCCCCTCGAGCGATTCAAATTCCGCGCATCTTCCGCCACTGGTACGCTGCGCGGCCGGAGAGGGCAGTGCGGACCAGGAGCAAGCCATCGATGGAGTCCAGTGTCCATGGTTCCACACTAGAGTTCGAAAATTCTCGGTAACATTAAATTGGAGAAGGTAACTGTGAAACATACCGTAAGTTACCGGGTACATTGAGAATTTAAGAGAACGTTAATTTTGTTATTTATACTTTACGTTTCTTCGTTTAAATAAATTTTTTCCAATCAACTTCAAAGTTCAAACTAAAGAGTAATAATTATTATTAGAAAATATTGATTATAGGGTTGTATTTACCTCCAGCTAAAAATATTCATGTATGTACATACAACTTCACGGAAAATTCCATGCCATTTGTTTCAAACGAACTGATATTTCATTCTGCGACGAAGCGAATGGGAGGTTTTGATTGGCTATGGAGAACGTACAACGGAAATTCCCCTCTACGATGTTTCTCTATAGCTAATCGAAACCTCTCGTTCGCTCTGTTGAAAAATTCAAATTCTCATAATTTCTCAATAGAAAAGGCTTTGGAGAAATTACCGACAAATTACCGGGAATTTCTCTTCGCTTCTGACGTAACTTACTGGATTTAGAACTGTATTCCACACACGAGTTAACCAGAATTTAACTGATTTGCAGCAAGTTTCAACCGGGTGAAAACCAGTTAAACTTCGCTTAACTTGAATTGTGAAATCGGGCCTTAAATCTGAGTGAAACGGTGTTTACACATTATTTAACACCAGTAGTTATAAAACTGACGTGAGATAGTTGGCAGTAGTGGTGTAAATATACCAAAATTGCTTAGTATTTCTTTAATTCCCTTGTTTCCCGGTGTCATTGTCACAAGTCACAGTAAGTGAATGTCAATTGATTGTTGTTATCGTCATTAACCTGCATATACATCAATTTAAAGACTTCTTTGGCAAAGTAGCGGAACTGAATATTATATAAATCATTCTATCAAAATGTTTTAATACATAAATGCAGATATTTATCTGCTCTTTATGTAAAAATAGAAACATTATTTAAAACAAATTGAATAATTTTTTACTTATAATTATGCAGATGAGTCGAAAGGAAGCCTTGTCACAATTTATACAACAAATCCATGGTCGACCAGTTGTTGTAAAATTAAACAGCGGAGTTGATTACAGAGGTAATTAATTAGAAACTGTTGCTTTAAATATACAAACTTTGTTTAATTTATATTATCCTTGTAGGTGTATTAGCATGTCTTGATGGATATATGAACATAGCATTGGAACAAACCGAGGAGTACGTAAATGGACAATTGAAAGATAAATACGGGGATGCCTTCATTCGAGGAAACAATGTATTATATATCAGTACTCAAAAACGTCGGACTTAATCTTTATTTTTGTTAAACTAACCTCATTTTCTTTGTAATAAAAATTCTTGGGTTTATGTGTTTATTATATGATATATATTACAGTTCAAAGTCCTTAAGCTATAGTTTATTTATAGTTCCATCATCCTGGTAGTTACCTTTCTTTTAACAGTTAACATTATTAAATTCAATAAATCTTTAATCTATGCATTTGAAAAAATGTGATTTTCAATTGAATCATGTTCCATAGGTTCTAAATCATTTACCATATTGTTACTTAGTTCTGGTTGCTGTAGATTTGAAACGTTACTTGCTTGGGGAAATACAACATTGGCATCAATAGATGATGAACTGCCTTTTAATAATTGTACGTTATTTTCTGTATTATTTTGTTCTCTAGATCGCTGAAATGAGTGATCAGGGGATTGAACAGAATTTTCATGCATATTCAAGGAATCATGATTTGATATTATTGATGCATTTATTGTGTCAGGCTTCTGATCATTATCCTCTTTATCATGAATTATAACGTTTGAAGAAGCATGAGTAGGTTGTAAGGAATTTGCCTCTTCCATCTTTTTCATATTTTCCTCTTCTCGAGCTTTTTGTCTTGCGAGTTTTTTTTTAATTGCTAATTGCCTATTTCTTTCTATTTTTTCCTTAATTGCATTATCTAATGAAATACTTTCACTAGATGATTCTGCTACTAAAACTGAAACATTTGAGCTGATACTTTTTACGGGTGATATATCATCATGTAAACTTTTACTTGCAGCAGTAGTATTAGGTCTTTCAGAATTTGTGTCATTTCTTTTTAGACGAATTTGCTCTTCAAGTAACAGATCAAAAGCATCCAAAGGAATAGATTCATCCTGTTCTATATTATTTTCATCTTCGTCCTTATCGCTTATGATTGCATCATCAAATGATATCATATTTAATCTGTATTTTTTTAAATATACATGAAGATCTTTCTTAGTTCCCAATGTTTCCATTTTCTCAATAAAATCATCAAACCGATACTTGGGAAACAGCCTATGTGCCCAATGTTCCAATCTCTTCATAATTCGATCTAAATCAGTTCCTTCATGGCCTTTACCATAAGTTTTAAATCCTTTGAAATATTCCTCTATCGTGTGTATTCCCTTTGGGCCTTTTAATCTTTCAATGTTTAACTTCGGCACAGGTGCTCTAATCACACGTTTCTTCTTAGGAGCTGGGTCAATTTTTTCTGTATCATTTCCTTCGTTATCTTGTTCTTCCACATCATTTCCGTTTCTATTTATACCTTCACCATTATTACTCGAAACAGATTGATGATCAGCTTCATCATCACTGTAAATTTCTTGATCAGATTCCATCTTTAACAAGAAGAAATAGAGAATAAAAGAATACTGTTATATGAAGTACTTTTTACTATTTTCTATTACTTGTAATGCAAAGTACACAGTTTACCTCAACGGAATATACTTACTTGTTTTCCTTGATTAGATGACCAAAGAGAAAATGACAAATTCAATGTGAGAATAAATCAATCACAGTCACTCAATGAAACATTCTTTTCCCGCAAAAGCCTGGTTACAACAAAAGCGCAATTCGTGAACAAGAATGAGCGAACTTTCGTTCGTTTTTAAAAATGTGTTTAATTATTTTGGTGACACCATCATGAAACGACCGTTTAGAATGAAAGGAAAAAATTCAAATTTATTGATGTTGGCAACCATGAAGTGTTCACGTGGTTATAAGAGCAGGTTATAACCTCTTTTTAAAAATCTTGACGTTCGTTTTCAGAGTTACTATTTTGATCTTCCATATATTTATCGTATATCCCCTTAGATGTATTCATATTTTGGAGAACGGATACCAGTAATTTTTTATTTAACCAATCCGTTTGGGTCCGTTCTCGTGGCACTGGTTCGTATGGCGTATTATCAGATGGTATGTCTTCGTCTCTTTTTGTATCACTGCCATTTGAATTCATCGGAGCTTCTAACACGTTTTCGTTTATTATGGTAGTTAGCGCTAGTAAAATACTTAAAGGAATGAAGATAGTTGACTTTCATTCAATTATTATCTCAAATCAGAGAGAAGGGGGTCGACTGTAAAGGTGCCTTTTCACTTGCTGCATTGCTACAAAAATGCACGCAACGAAACGCTCCGATTGGTTGAAAATAGGCAGAACCACCATGGATGATACAGAAAGAATTTTAAGTTAATCAGAACAAATTGTTGCGTTCAATTTTGCAGCAATACAGCGAGTGAAAAGTAGCTTGATACGAATTTAATGAAAATGCTAAAAATGAATACGTCCCAGGATTCTGTAACTTTCATTATAGTGAAAAATGTAAGATATTTCACGTAAAAATACTACAAAAATTTAATCTCGAATGAAGCCGTACGTTCTCTGCAGCCAATCAAAACCTATTCGTGCTGCTTCGCTCTGACGCTTGTCGCTGTAACGATAATCAGATATGAGCGGGGAGATGTTTCGCGCCATTGTCGAAAGTGAGGTACGGCTCACTAGCGCCGTGGGACTACTTTCAAAGAGGCAAAATGGTAAACTACTATCGGTAAAGAAAAACGCGTCTATAGATTTCAAATAATATAGCACAGGATCGATAGAATGAAGTTACCGCCTTTTCGTTTTTAGAATCAGGGTCAACGTAGGTTGGGAAAGAAAACTACAAATACCGAATAAAGTTGTTATGCGTGGATGATTGCGATTACGACGCGGCATACCGTATACCCTGTTTTACCGATCACGAAGATTTCGCCCCTTTGAAAGTAGTTCCAACTTTACAGAGGTGTAAAGAGTGTAGAGGGCGCCAGTGGACCGTGCCTCCCTTTCAAATAGCAGCATTAAACATCTGCCCGCTCAATTCTGCGTTAATGAAATGGCAGCCTTAAGCGCAGTTTTGCCAATGTTACAGGTAAGGGCGGTTCCACAACTTGAGTTTACCAGAGTTTAATTGCTTTACAGCGGGTTCAAACCAGGAGTAAACCTGTTAAACGTCGGTTAAGTTCTGTTAGAGTTATGGAACCGGATCTAAAACCATGTGGGTAAAAACCGAAGTAAAACGACGCTTAGACAACTTTTGATACCAGTAGTTATAACATCGGTATGCATCGGTAGCTATGAAATCGGCATATTGTAGCTTGTGTAAATGTACTAAACGTGTAGAAAATATTAACAACAAAGCGATGAAACTATAGAGAAAGTGACGAACATCCATAGATCTTGTATATTGATTTTTGGAACTTCTTTCGGGTGGGTTACTTTTGGTTTCATGGCAGTTACAGGTTTCAAACTCGATTCTGGTTTTTGAAAAGTTAGATTTCACGGAAAACTTAACGTTAATGGCTGATGACTTTCAATAGTATTGTTGCTCAACGCAACAAAAAAATTTAACAGTTCTTGGTTATCGTTTAAAGCTTTTGAGCCTTCCTGATAATCCCAGTTCGCGATTAAACATCAATTCCAAATCAATATAAATTAATCTCTCGGAAAAATATATTTTATGCTAATATTTTGTGTAAAAATGTTACATTCTTCCATTGTATCTTTTGAATGTTATTTTAAATAACGTGATATATTGCTTCCAAAAGAATTCACTGTATTAGAATGTTCTCTCAAAGACTGTCAAGTTCATTGCATTATGAGAACATCATTCTTTTTTGATGTAATAGAGTTTGAATACAATTGAAGAGTCAATAATATTAATTACTGTGCAATAATTTATCGAAAAATGAAAACAGTCATTGCTTATTACCAAATAATGGGATGAATGAATAATGGGAATGCATACACAAGCATTCAGCTTTAATAGTAAAATGATAAATGAAAGGTAAACACAGATGTTTATTGGACATAGTCCATCTAGTCTAGTACAGGGGTCAAGATATGTTATTTTCCATGAGTTAGATAAGTGGAAGGAGTAGAACTCTTATGTGCAAAGGGTTACGAACATATGACTCAAGTCATCTATATGTTTATTACCACAAATTCATTGATATTTACAGTTCAACAACGTTTTAATCATTTTTGCATAACTTTTATCAACATTATGTAATTTTCTTATGCTAGGATATCAATCTGTCATCAATGTTCAATATTGTATTAATAGAGATAATATGACAAGATACACAAAACATTTTTTTTTTTAAATACCAAATTATATAATGCAATTCTGATTCTTAACTTGTTAAACGTGATCTCTTAATTGAGCGATACAGGTGCTCTTGATGAACAATCCGACCACTCTATCATTTTTCAGATTAGAATAATAAATAAGTTTGGACTTTGGGCCTATTGGATATGTCGATCATAATTTATGAATGCACTTATAGATTCGCATACTTTCATTATCTTACAAATGTCATAACGAGACATATAACGTTTAAAAATGAAATATCCAGATGCCTCTGTAATGAACCTGATAGTAACGTATTCCATCTTTCTCACATAATTATGACTCAGTATGACTAGGCTTGAAAGAACTTTTCCTGAAGTGCTGCATGTTAGTTCTTTTCTTCTTAAATAAAACTTAATTGTTCTAAGTTCTTTACTCATGCTAGCCATAAATGAATCATCAAAATGCATTAATAGTTGATTACAGTGACTAACATAGAAATTATGTTTTTTTTTAGAAAATAGAGTTAGATAACAGAAAGTTGAAGTGGGTACTGATTTCTGCTATTTCAGTATGACTGGGCAGTTAATTATATACTCTGCTCTATTCTGTGACAGCAATTTTAATGTTACGAAGTGCTCGAAATTAATGCTAGTTCTTACAAATGGTGATATGTATATGGAACTGGATAACATACATTGTTGACTTTTTTTCCCATACGTGTACGACACACGCAATTTCAAAAATTTGCTCTGTCACATGCAATTTATTTAACAGAGGAGGTAGGAAATCACAATCTCACTGTAAAATAATTTAAAGTTACAAGTGAAACATATAAAAGACATGGCAGAACATTATCATATTACCTAACGCTGACTAAATTTGATCTCATGTGCATTAAATAAACGTTTATTGCTCCTAATAAATAATCATTGATAAGTAGCCATTGATTATGATAGTGAATTATATTAGTTAAATTAGCTTAAAACGTAAATTTTAATTTAAATCGCAAATAGTTTAAGTCATTCAAAAAGAGGCTGTACTATGACTATGAATAACTAATCTAAATGCTAATGACATCCTTTTTGCGAAACATTTCAATATGGCCAACTATCAAAAAGAACAAAAGATATAAGAACAAAAACCAGATTCTGTATCATGTTCAAAAGCGAGAAGCCCCTTAAAGCAAATGTTACTTGAAAATATAAAAAATTAGTTTGCGCCCACTATACAATGTAGACAAAAAATTTGTATAATACATAGAAAACTATAATACGTTAAGTTTTTATCTTAAAAGCCGTTCATAGTTATAATTGATTTCAGAAATTTTCTGTTAGATTACATTATAATAAATAAATAAATGGGGGTGAATTAAAATGAATTAGATTAAACGATGGTACTGAAAGCACGTGCGGCGAGCCGCTATGTTTTTTTAGATTCCCAGTCTTTTTACGATTGACGGGCGAACTTTGATTCAACGTGTCTCATGTGCTGATATAAAGCTAGAAAAAACCGGAGGATGATTGGTAGTCATTTGACCGACCGTCCGAATGGCGTCACGTCAATCATAGATCGTCGTTGGCGCAGAAAAGTTTAATCGATCATTGAAAATAATACCTTAACCATTTAACATTTTAGTGTAAAAATCGTAATAATTATTGCAGAAAGGTCCAAATGAAGTATAAATGCGCCCGTCTGCTCTACAGGTTGTAAATGTTTATTTAGCAATGTAAACAATAAGCGTGCAAAAAATTCGTGATGAGGACGTTTGACTATATTAATATTTCAAACTTATTCATTGCATTATGAGTAAACAGAAATAAACGAAGATCTTGATGCTGTAATAATCGTAACTGAGTGAAGATACTGTTTGTTGCAGGGGACCGTTTATAACTTATACTTAATCGTTCGGACTGTGAAGAATGCTCCTAATTCAATTAACTTAAGTACAAAGTTGACCCGAAGTCCACGTAAAGAGTGACCGATTGTAATTGAATTGACACTGGTCAATTGGGAAAACTAAATGTAGACTTAACGTTTAATTTGTGCCGATAAAATCAGCGTTGCACAAGTTGTTTTCTTCTCTCACACTGTATAACTATACTTCAAACAACAGTTTCAACAAATTCTATGTATTTGTAATGCAAACATCAAACATTCCTCTGCCACATAAAAGTTGTATCTGATGGGTTGAGTGTACTACGCGATTTCTCAGACAAGAATTTCTTTTGGAAAATCCAAATTTTGAAAGTGTCAAGATAATTCTTATGTGCTTACGAGTCGGCTGGCAAAGTTTCAGACAGTTCGGTCTAATACCCTTTAAAAAAGTGTCTTATTTGAGGGGAGTTTCACCTCACTTTAAGAAATTAATGCTAAATCGCCAGTCCGAAGGGTCGCTACATTGGAGATCTGCAGCTTTCGTAAGAGGGGAAGTCCGGTTTCGATTTTGGCTGTTACATCCATAAACGTAAACATCGTTGACCGGCAACTTTACAACGCTAGTCGTTCCGGCACGAGTTAACTCGTGACCGGTCAACAACGTGTTAAGACTCCGAGGTTTCGGTAACCAACACCCTTATCGCCACAGGGAGTCTGCTTATCAAAAATTAGTTCCTAACGGGGGAAGACTCGAGTAGGAAAAATCCAAAATCATCGTACTTGACCATCGATGCATCTCGGCACATATTCTTGAATATGTATAAATGTGAATATATATATTTTTTTAAGATACATTTACTTTAAGGTATACTATGGGTCTTGTGCATTTTCATAGATTACTCCGAATTATGCCATAGCACGCTTGTGTTTAATTCATGGTGATGTATAAATATTCACCCATTCTGTAATGCATGCAGAAATAAACAATTTGAAAATTCAACATTTTTAAAGGCTAAGATTTGCAAAAACGAAATCATTCTGAATCGCGCGTCAAATTTTGACCTTCAATTTCTCTGAGATTCAAAGCCGACCTAAGTGGCTTTATTACATTTTTCCAATCATATCTAAGTAACTTTCCTTATTAGTACGACCTATTTAATAAGATTAACTGCGAGATATAACGTAACGGTCAAAAGTTTACTCGAAGTTGCGGTTTCTTTGTAAATAAAAAAAAAACGGCAGTGGTCACGAGTCCTGATGAAATTACTGACTCGCAGGTAATTCAATTTCAATTTCATTTTTTCGAGATAACATTACACCATATTTGTGTCCAAAAATCCTATATACCAGCTTTTCGTTCTCTCATTGTTGTCGTTTCGGCGCCATTAATATCCCGCTAGCGTTCTACCTAAAACGAAATGCGGAATTTTGAAGAATACTTAACCGTGAAAAGGTCGGCAAAGTAGGTTCCATTGATTCATCGATCCCTCCTCCCCGTTTTATCGGTACTCTCGTCATCCCTTTCTTCCGCATCCCACCCTTAAGAGCAACAAGGATGCCCTGCTTTCCAGGCGTCCCTCGTCGTAACGGGGAACTGCTCCAAGCGACGGTAACGGTGGTAGTGACGCGACACATACATGGCAGAATTAGGGACAAGTAGAAAATGCAACTGCGAAGCTTCCGTCCACGAATCCACCGATCCATCGGTAATACGCCGGCTCCCGGGAAGCACCCTAAAAACCCACCTACCACATACAACCCTTACGTTCCTCCTCGACAAACGATTCGTTCGTCTCCAATAACCACAGGCGTACGGAGTTCCTACTTCTCCAAAACGAGAGATTGCAGAATTAAAAGTGCTCCGATTTAAATTCAATATAACCTACCATAAGCCGATAAGCCTCGCCGGGCCACGGCGCCTAGTTGCCCTCCCCACCACATCGGCCGTAAAACTAGCGTTGTCTCTTTTTCCCGCATTCCGACAACGAGACTAAAGAGGATATCCTGCCTGTCGGGTCCCCTCGCTCGGCGGCGAGGTCTCTCGCGCGCCCCTCCTCTCCCCGCGCCGCGCCCTGCGGAGGAGGCGAACGCGCAGGCGGGAATGCGGGTGCAGAATCGAGCGGGCCGGGAGCCGCGAGCCGTCTGGTCCACGCGTGGTCGTCGCGTCTCGCGATTGGTTGTCGACTTCGCGCGATATGGGATCCCCGCCACGTGGTAGAGCGGCATAGAGCGGGGTGACAGAAAGTTGGCCGTGTGGCGTGATCGGGCCGGCGACTTTAGTCGCGGAACGCGCCGCACTCCTGGGCAGTCTTGAACGGTGTCGCCGACACAACACGTCGAGTGAGCGGACTCGACCCGGTTCTCCCGTGTATCGGCATCCCGAAAGCTCGAGCCATTTGCGCGGACCGACCGCGTCAGCCATGAAGCCTCAGGACGCGCCACGCGACCACGGAGACTCCGGTAAGCGAGACGAGGCCCCGTGGTTAGGTTAAGCGTCCGCCGCCGCTGCAGCGGCCCACGTCAGACCGCGGCAGCTGCATCGGCCTTCGCGCGGCTCGAAACGGTCGTAGATCTCGTGGCCGATCGCCGAAAGCGGAAAGGTGCACCCAGGGCACGGCCGGACATCGCCAGGCTCCGCTATTCGTCCGGCCTGTGAACCCGCTCCGACGGGAAATTAGGAATCCAATCGAGATCGCGGGTCTTCCCTTTAGGACGCTCCGTTAACTTCACTCGTGCCGGTCGTCATGATTCGATTTCGTGTCTTCAAACTTGATATTCACGGTGTCGTTGGAATGTTTACAGGGTCTTCAGCGGGGGTCTTGTTGTCCACGCGAAGCGGGAAAATTTGAGCATTGATTCACCTGAGGGTGACATCGTTTTGAGGATAGGGAAAGAAATTTCGCAATTTTCTTGTACCGTTTGCTGCACCACTGTTCCGCGGAGCAGATGCAGTGACATAAAGTCGCAGGGCGATTCGGGTGGAGTTCGACGGAGAATGTCGTATTTAGCACGGCTATTGGGATTGTACATGGTAGTAACCGTGGTAAAACTTTTTGCGAGTTTTCCAGCGGATGCTCACGCTATCTGCGCTAACCCGCACGAGTGCTGCTTGCGATCGCTACGCGAATGGTTGACCGAATCGTTTGGCAAGAACTCAGGTTCTCTATAAATAGGACATTTCACCGGTTGATGTGTATCGTCTTATCAGAGGGAGAGACGCGTAGTCTTGTGATGTTAGAAGATAGTGGACTGGAAAAATTAATCGCAATATCATTTTTCCACCTGGGTATTGAAGGAGGCTCATTTGGGGAAATTTAATCAATAAAAATGTGTTGTCGGATATTTATATTCTCCTAAAAACGCGCGTTGCAAATCAACAACCTGTCCTGGTATTAAATTTCGCTTTAACGGTTTTCTTTCCTTTGACAATGTTCATTCGGATATGTTTGAAAGGATTCTGTATTAACGTAATTAATGCATATCAGCATTTTAATATTGTTTTGGTATAATTTAAACCTCATGAATAATGGTACCTCATGTAATAGTTGATGCTGGGTCTAGTAAATGCATCGCCAATTATAGGACATGTTTTATCAATAAAAAATTCAATTGTTCGTTTGCAATAAGTATCGTTTCTCTTCTGACAGTGGAGAGGAACAATAATCGTGCGAAATTCGTTTCGATTAGATGTTTCGAGTACCGTTGCTTGAACTCGCATCGAGTTATTGACAGTCATTTTTAAAGAAACTTTACCAAACCAGTTGGAGAATTTCAGAAAGTCACGTTAAAGACCTTCAATTAGCTTGTATGGTCGACTGTTTGACCCTTTCATTAAGACACGCATTTTGTTACAAACCCTCGCTTAATGGAAAAATAACCACTCTCCTTCCTTTAATATTCGTAATTCAATACTCCGACGTCCTTTATTTCGTTATTCCTCGTGTTTCGTTAATTATTTGGGCGATCGTTTCGCATCTGAATACGCTGCGCTCTCCCAACTTAATTAAGTGACTAATAACGCATTCGTAATAGGTAAATTAATTGAACGAGAACTCGGTGGTGAATTCGTTTAAAGGTAATAAATGGCATCGCGATCATTACGTATTGTATCCGTATATTAGCTATTGATTGAACAGGAAGCCAGTCGCGATTGTGTATTTATACTCGAGCAGCAGGTAAAAATGAGTTATTTGTTCCAGTAATTCTACCCATTATTAATTTAGTTTCCTGCATTTTTAATATTAAGTAATTTCTTCCTCCGAGCGTACATTCATTTTGCAAAATGTACTTCTAAAAGTATTATTTGTCAAAAAAAAACTGCGGGGGAATGTTTTTGCTCATGTTTAGACGAGTGCAGGCAGGTAAAGAAAGTGCGCTGATGAAGCTGCTACAAGATTTTTTTTTATTTAATTGTGCACAGATTTAGGTTCTCTTAACAGCTCGTGCTGGCGCACCACGGTCACCGTTTTGCCAATTGTTATTTGTCAATTACGAGTTGAAACTTTGTCAATCGACCTGCGGAGCTCTGCCAACTTTGTGACTCCTTGACGTAAAGTTTATCCTTTGCATTGGCACCTGGGATTAAAACGGAATTTAAGGTTATCGGACTGAGAAAACGAACGCCTGCAATTGGCGGTGCATATTTCGTGGGTAATCCGACACCTTGCACTTGTAGGCCATTTTTCTTCTTTATTTCGTTCGACTTGATAGCTGGATTTCTTGTGGACACGATACAAAGTGAGATCATTTCTTCCAAATATTTGTTTTCTTCAATTGCTTCGGAACAACGTTTCAATGCCTCTGAAAATGAAAGAATGCTACTTTTTTTGTACTGCCCTGGAACTGTTTCATTAATTATAAAAAATCAATTAACAGGTCACGAGTACTACGCATTCCGCCTGAAATTCCGCAGTCCGGAAGTTGCGTTGCTTTCTTTGTAGAGCTGACCAGTTTGCTGCGCATTTCTTATTTCTTCCTCCAAGGATCAGTTTCGTTGAGAAGATACGGATGTCATATTTTTTCGATAGGCTAATAGCACGTAGCCTGTTGACGCAGATTAAGAGTGCGTACACACGTATACGATTATACGAGCGAATCGAAAAAATTAATTTTTGTACATTTTTACCGATGTCAGTCATTCGCAATAAAAATGTGGCGTGACTATAGATGACTCATACATTCAACCCTCGGAGATAAGTCTGTTACTTGCAGAATATGTATCAGTTTGAACGTAATTAATTTTTTAACCTTTCTTATTTCCATATGGCAGATAAATGCCTGCAATTGTCTCGCCGCAATTAAATGGCTTGCCTGTTAGTAATAATAATAATTATTCATCCCTACCACTTTTTCGCGTCATGTAAGCTACCTATAAACGGCATTTGATTTTTTCCCCTCGCAAATGAATAATTCCCAGTAAAGTACCACGCGAGAACCGATAGAAATTCTGTGATTTATGGTTTATGTCCGTTCCGTAAATATTTTCCAAGTACTTGTACAATGCAAGGGACCACGTTATCGCGCTTCTCGAAATCCGTGATACATGCATCACTCGAAACGACCCATACGATATTTTCGAAAGCGCTATTTCTCTAAATCGGTTATCTCGGGAGAGTTATTTGATTTCACAAAGACTCTATATCCCATTCTCTGCAGTGATTCGAATTTTTAAATCTTAAGATCCTTTTCAAATATCAAGTCAATGGTTCTTTTCTCTTCGGTAAGTATCTTTTAAATCTAATAGTCGTGTCTTTTTTATTTTCATCTATAAGACGTTATCTCTAATGTTATACTCATTAATCACGTGTCACCCGTTAGCGAACCCGCAACCGTGTCACCGGATGCTGTTTCTAAAACAAAACTGTCTCAAATGTCCCCTTGCAAGTCGATCATCAACAATCTCCACCAGCTCTCATCTTGATATGAATCAATGTACTTCAGGCCACGCGCGGCCCTCTGTTAAATGATCCTTGCATTGAAATGTATTATTGGTGCACGCATGCGACGCCTGACGATCTCAAAGGTTAGCCACAAGTCCATGGTAGCGTCCTACTGTGCGCATTTGCAATCGCTCCACCTCGAACCCTGGACTTTTATTGCCAATATCGATGTCAATAAGCGTAACCCGACCACTTGAGGCAAGTACAGTTTATCACTTCAATCCGAAGATCGGTGTCTCGACCGAATGCAATACGTTGAGCGGAGCCCCGCTTTTTCGCGAATTCAAACTAAACGATTCTTCCTTAGGTGTCGTAGTTAACCCTTTCTATTCGACCATTCTTTTCTTCGGTATACTTCCTCCGTACGGACACTCGAATCGTGAACACAGCGGTAAAGTACGGACCAAGTTATGGCAAAAGATCAAAGAGTCGAAATTAGGTTAAAAAATTCGATCAAAGTTACGAATCAATGCGAAGTTGTAACGGGTGGTTATAGTCACCCAGGACATGGCGAGCGTGCGATGATGAGTGACTATAGTCACTCGTCGAACATCGAGGGCATGCAATGATGAATGACTATAGTCAACCTTAGTATCGAAAGGGTCACAGAATGATCATCACTTCAGTGCAATGCACTCGGACTGTAGGACTCTAGGCCATTTGTGAACTCTCCCCCAGAGTGGGGGAAACTTAAATTCACCCCGGTGCACACAAGTAGTGCGCCGAGTCGAATCTAACTTTGACACTGAGGTTAACGTAAGGTTTTTGTGCACATCTGAGTGCGTTACGCGTGTAGAGCGCGGAACTCGAGGGGTGAACGTGGTTGACGTTGTCCAAGGTCAGGGTTCACAAGTTCAGACTCCGCGATCTCACGGGCGCTAAAACGTTTCGTGACAATTATGGTTTCCACGAGTTAAAGTCCCTAAAACTTGTTTTTTAATGTATACTAGCATAATGCGCACGCCCCGCGCGCGATCCCACGATCTTTAGTATTGTTCATGTGTTTCTCGTATTACTTTTTATCATTTCTTAAGAGACGAACACATTATTTATATTACATTTTTTTAAAGTAATGAATAACACGATAAATGTGATCTGTGAAGATAAATGAAATATAACGCAATTAATGTTATTCATAACTTATTTATTCTTTATAACACACTTTCTATTTTATCGCTTACCAAAAGCCAGTTTCTCTTTTAATTAATATAGGATGAACTCAAATCCACATTAAAGTTTGCTGAAACCAAAAATCCTTGAAAAATTGTATCGCATCCTCTTTTTTCTTATTGATTCGCGAACTGTCAGAATGCAAACTCTCAAGTAATTCGAATAAAATTATTTGACGCTTCAGTTGCCTCCGACAACCCATCAGAGACCGAATAAAACGGCGACAATGTTGTACCCATGGATTTTTTGAAGAGGAATACGTGCACATTAGAGTGCTTGATTATTTTTTTTTTAATTCTTTTAGGTTTCTTTTAACGTGATTCAAAAATTTCTTTTAAATTCCGTAAGGCA